GCTGTGGCTCAAATGGTAGAGTGCTAGCCTTGCGCTGAAGAGCTGAGGGACAGCGCCCAGGCCCAGAGTTCAGGCCCCACAAACAAAACAAAAAAACAAAACAGAGAGATCTGGGATACTTACCTTGATCTGCCTACGAATGAGGTCTCTAGTTATGTTGACTTTTGCCATCTTCTCTTAATTAGTTCAACAGAAGGAAGCTAGAGAAGGAACTTCAGGACCCTTGTACATTCCAGCCAAGCCCAGGTCCACAAGATACACATTTAATTACCTGAGGAGAAAAACAAATCAAATTTTGGGGAAGCTGGGAATGTGGCTTAATGCTTGCCTAGCACACATAAAGCCCGGGGTTCAATTCCTTAGTAACACATAAACAGAAAAGGCCGGAAGTGGTGCTGTGGCTTCAAGTGGTAGAGCACCAGCCTCGAGTGAAAGAGCTCAGATAGTGAACAGGCCCTGAGTTCAAGCCCAATGACTAGTCAAAAGAAAAAAAAAAATTGGGGGAATTGAAAAAGCTGTTTTCAGAGGCCTGATCTCATCCTTAAATAGCCTGGGTTTCATAGTACTGAAGCCGTCTGAATGGGTTAAAGGGACAGGTAGGACAGTGACTTGTAACTACAGGAACCACTGGAATGAATACTGAAGGAGTTATGTGTACTTCACCAGAAAATGCAGGGTTAGATATGTATGTGTGTAGAGGAAGATGGCAGTATGTCCTGAAAGCAAGAACAAGGCACATAGCTAGACAGATAGAGGTCAAGTTTCCCTTACTCAATATAAATCTGTGGCAAGCCATCTGAAATTTTAATTATGTTTTAAATCCATGACCTTTCAGCTTGACTCTCTTCAAAGCAAATCAGTACTGCAGCCAGAATGTTTAACCTCTCTAAATCCAAAGAATCAAAGAGTGAAAGGAGAGCTTCTAGTGGCTGGAATGGTAGAGCGCCTACCTTGAAAGTATAAGGCCATGAATTCAAACCCTTGTCCCCTCCAAAAAAAAAAAAAAAAAGTAGTAACATTATATAACAAAGGAGTCTTGGGCTGGGAATGTGGCTTAGTGGTAGAATGCTTGCCTACTATACACGAAGCCCTGGGTTCAATTCCTCAGTACCACATACACAGAAAAAGCCAGAAGTGACACCGTGGCTCAAGTGGTAGAGTGCTAGACTTGGGCAGGAGAGCTGAGGGACAGTGCCCAGGCACAGAGTTCAGGCCCCATGACTGGACAAAAAAAATAAAAGAAAAGAAAAGAAAAGAAAAGCTCAAGGACAGTACCCAGGCCCTGAGTTCAAGCCCTAGAACTATCAAAAAAAAAAAAAAAAAAAAGGAGACTTCCCAATAGTTGAACACATGGAAGTTCCTGGAGAATGGCACGCACAGTGAAGAGGTGGAAGCTCCTTTCCACATCTTGTCCTATGAATTCTGTTATCTAAATCCTTTGGAATGCCATTTATAATGAACCAGTGTTTTTAAAAAGTGACAAGAAAACATAGTAGTGACTATGGCCCAGATCCAACTGATAAATTCCCCTTCAACCTCCTGATAGGTCAGTCTTTGGACTGATCACTTCTTGAAACTATTTATGTGTTATGACTGCAGTTAGAAAGAACAAGTAGGTTGAGACAGATGGAGAGAAAGATTGATAGTATGGGTAACATTCACCAAGATCTATTATACTCACCTCTTTGTACAACTATTTAAAATTTTAAAAGTGCAAAAAAAGAAATAATCTCATTCTTAAGAATGAGATTAGGCAGTAATTGTACTCACTAGAAGCTATATTGAAAATGAACTATACAACTTGTAAGTGAGGACAAGAGGGTAAAACTGGCAGACAACAATGGAAGGGGTGATACTGTCCAAAAAGAAATGTACTTACAACCTGACTTATGTAATTGTAACCCTCTGGTACATCACCTTTACAATAACAATAAGAAAAAAATTTTTGCCAGGAGCCAGTGGCTCATGCCAAAATCCTAGCTACTCAGGAGGCTGAGAGCTGAGGATCTCAGCTTGAAGCCAGCCTGGACAGGAAAGTCCATGAGACTCGTATCTCCAATTAACCACCAGACAACCGGAAGTGGTGCAGTGGCTCACAGACAACCAGAAGTGGAGCAGTGGCTCAAGTGGTAGAGTGCTAGCCTTGAGCTAAAGAGCTGAGGGACAGCGCCCAGGCCCAGAGTTCAGGCCCCCTGACCGACAAACAAAAAAAAAAAAAAAGAAAAGAAAAAGAGGGCTGGGAAGGTGGCTCAGTAACAGAGCACTTGCCTTGCATGGATGAGGCCCTGGGTTCGATTCCTCAGTACCACATAAGCAGAAAAAAAAAAAGCCGGAAGTGGTGCTGTGGCTCAAGTGATAGAGTGCAAGCCTTGAGCTGAAGAGCTGAGGGACAGCGCCCAGGCCCAGAGGTCAGGCCCTGCGATTGACAAAAACAATGTGGATATTAAATGCTTGAGCTGGGGGCTGGGAAGGTGGCTCAGTGGTAGAACACTTGCCTTGTATGCATGAGGCCCTGGGTTCGATTCCTCAGCACCACATAAGCAAAAGAAAAAAAAAAAAACGCTGGAAGTGGCACTGTGGCTCAAGTGGTAGAGTGCTAGCCTTGAGCTAAAGAGCTGAGGGACAGCACCCAGGCCCATGACTGGACCCAAAAATAATAAAATAAAATAAAAATATAAAAAGAATACAGCAAAAGAGGGCTGGGAAGGTGGCTCAGTGGTAGAGTGCTTGCCTTGCATGCATGAGGCCCTGGGTTCGATTCCTCAGCACCACATAAGCAAAAAGGAAAAAGCTGGAAGTGGCGCTGTGGTTCAGGTGGTAGAGCGCTAGCCTTGAGCTGAAGAGCTGAGGGACAGCGCCCAGGCCCAGAGTTCAGGCCCCATGACCGGACCCAAAAAAAAAAAAAAAAAAAGTTTTGGTCTGGAAGTAGAGTACTTACCTTAGTATGTGTGTGTACCTGGGATCATCAGCACTCCCCAAAAAAAGTGTTTCAAAAAATATTTTTGGCTGGGTGTTGGTGGTTCACGCCTGTAATCCTAGCTACTCAGTAGGCTAAGATATGAGGATCATGGTTCAAAGCCAGCTCAGGCAGGAAAGTCCATGGGACTCTTATCTCCAATTTACCACCAGAAAACCAGAAGTGGCACTGTGGCTCACACAGTAGAGGGCTCACCTTGAGCTGAAGAGCTCAGGGACAGTGTGCAGGCCCAGTGCACAGTGCCCCATGAATTCAAGGCCCACAACCGACTGCCCCCAGAAAAGGAAAAGAAATATTTTTATCTGTTAGGAAAAAATTAGTGAAGTAGCTGGGTGCTGGTGGCTAACACCTGTAATCCTAGCTATGCTGGAGGCTGAGAACTGGAGGATCAAGGTATCAAGCCAGACTGGGCAGGAAAAATCCATATAACTCTTATCTCCAATTAACCCACCAAAAAGCCCGAAGTCATGCTGTGCTGAGTGCAAGTCATAGGACGTGTGTGTGTGTGTGTGTGTGTGTGTATGTGTGTATATGTGCGTATGTGAATGCTCGCACACGTGCACACACTCACAATAATGAAGTTGCCAGCTGGGTACTGATGGCTTACACTTGTAATTCTAGCTACTCAGAAGGTTGATTCATGGAGGGTTCACAGTACCTCATCTCCAAAACAAGGAAATGATTAAGTTGCCAAGAATTATGCATTTACTATGTGGGAGGAATTGTAGTAAGTGGTAGTAAGTGCTTTATATTCATTCATTCAATAAATAAACATAGGTGCTATTTCAGGCCAGAGTATACAGCATTGAACAAAATAAGCAAAGTCCTTGTTCTCATGATACTGACATTCTAGCAAGAGGAGAAAAACAATAAACAATAATATAAGAAAACATCCAATGGATAGAAAATGCTATGATGACCATAAAGCAGGCTTTTATTTGATGTGACTAAAGGGTTCCTCTTAGAGGTGAGGTCAAGGAAAACATACGTTTTTTTGAGTTTTCTGCCTGCTTAGAACCCCTTTTTTATATTTTGAGAACTACTCATCTGGTGAGACCAGTGGGAAGTGAGGAGTAGGCTTCCTTGGAACTATCATATGCATATAGGGCCCAGGCTATACTAGCCAGGTATATTATCCATGAACTGTGAAGTGAAAGCTAGTATCACAGCACTGAGGGCCACAGAGAGTCCCTGCTCGTGTGTAGCCAAGGGATGGTTACAGTAGCAGTCCAAGTCCAGTACAGCTAGGGGCAGAGCTGTGAGCTCTGTGAGAAGTGGCAGTCAGTGTCCTCAGTGACTTATTTTGAGTACCCAGATTCTCTGGTTCTAGCCCATTCTTCGAGCTTGGTTCTGTGGCTTACCCTGATGTTTTGTGAATTTCCTTAATACTCCTTTCAATAATCAGCTAGGGTTGGTTTCTATTGCTTACAATAAATCCTACCTAATATAGAAGGACTTATTTATTTATTTATTTTTGTTGGTTGTGGGGCTTGAACTCTGTCCCTGGGCTCTGTCCCTGGGCTCTTCAGCTCAAGGCTAGCGCTCTACCACTTTGAGCCACAGCGCCACTTCCGGCTTTTTTTTTCCTGCTTATATAGTGCTGAGGAATCGAATCCAGGGTCTCATGCATGCAAGGCAAGCGCTCTACCACTGAGCCACCTTCCCAGTCCTTGAAGGGCTTTATGAGAAAACATATTAAAGCTAAAATACAAATGACAAGAAGAAATCAAGTACAGTGGCTCATACTTGTAATCTTAACTACTTGGAAAGTGGAGACTGCAGTGTGCCCAGGCAAAAAGTCCATAAGATCCCCTTCAGTCAATAAAAGGCTGGAAGCAGTGGTACATGCTGCTCATCACTGCTACGTGGGAAACATAAATAGGAAGGTTATGTTCCAGATCTGCCCAGGCATAAGCACAAGACCCAATTAGAAAAATAAATAAAGCAAAAAAGAGTTGGGGGCATGGTACAAGTAACAGAGTACCTGCCCTGGAAACTCAAAGAACAGTATTCAAACCACCACCACTACCAAAAAACAAAACAAAACAAAAGAACTAAGGGAAGATGCGTTTGAGGAAATAGTGCTAAGGCAATAAGGAAGAGAAGTTCAAAAGGCTGGTAAAACTACATGCTGGTGGCTCACACCGTAATCCTAGCTACTCAGAAGGCTAAGATCTGAGGACCATCATTCAAAGCCAGCCTGGGCAGGAAAGTCCAATTAGACACCAAAAAAAATAAGTTGGAAGCAGAGGTGTGGCTCAAACGTTACTGTGCCAGTCCTGAGCAAAAAAGCT